TTTTACATATTTCTCACACACACACACACACACACACACACACACACACACACACACACACACACGTATAAATAAATAAATAAATTCCTGTATAGTTTTATGCAATGTATATTTAGTAGGCTAATGCAATTTTCTTCATGCCCCGGCTAGATATATTTGTTTAAAGCCAGTTTGTTTGTTATAAAGCAAATAGCCAATAAATACATTTGCTTAAAAATCAATATCAGTATCAGAATCCAATTTGTAAAAGGCCTCAAATTTGAAGTACAATCTGGGATGTCTTTTTCTATCAATTCTTCAATAGGCAGATCTTGTCTTTCATAAAGGCCGAGGTCAGGGGTCTTGGGCCTAAAAAGGTTGGTGACCACTGCACTATACCATTCAATAGCTTGGAGTCACGGTAATTTATTTAAAACTTTTTTTGGGTGGGGGGGGGGAGGGGGGGGTTACAGAAAGTAATACTTTTATTTAGCAAGGATGCGTTAAATTGATCAAAAGTGATGATAAAGACATTTATAGTGTTACAAAAGATTTCTATTTCAGATAAATGCTGTTCTTCTGAACTTTCTATTCATCAAAGAAACCTGAAAAAATCTACTCAGCTGTTTTCAACATAATGATAATAATAATAATAATAATAAATGTTTTTAAACAGCAAATCAGAATATTAGAATGATTTCTGAAGGATAATGTGACTGGAGTAATGATGCTATAAATTCAGCTTTGAAATCACAGGCATAAATTACGTTTAAAAAAATATTCAAATAGAAATCAGTTATTTTAAATAGTAAAAATATTTTAAAAATGTACTGTTTTTGCTGTACTTTGGATCAAATAAATGCAGGCTTGGTGATTAGAAGAGACTTATTTTAAAACATAAAAAATCTTACTGTTTAAAACCTTTTGGGGTAGTGTATATACACACATTTTCCCCTATACATTTTATGCATATATACATAGGACTATGGCCAGCTACATAGTTAACCTAGCTAAAAGGAGAAGAACATTTTTCATTCCTTTCTTGGATCAATTCTGGGATGTGTGCCAGGTAAAAATACAGCCTCTCTGTGTGTGTGTGTGTGTGTGTATAGCATGCATACGGCTGGCAGTTTACATAGCGTGCCATCTGTGCAGCATTCTTCTCACTGGCAGAGGATTCCAACATGGCGGGAAAAACAATAACAAACACAAAAAAGGCTTCCAGTTAATCTTTTTTGGTATCAAAAGATTCATTAATAGTCGTTCATTATAACAAACGCATATTTTGCTGCACTGTTGATTTTACATGAGCAGCAAAGCAAAAACCAAGCATTTGTGGAAGATAAACAAACCGAAGCCACAGCGGTCAGTGCTTCAGAGTGTTGCACACTCATTTGTGAAGATGTTCGCACGCACAAACAACTGCACAATAGTGCAGAGGTACAACGCTGAGGGTTTCCTGAACCAAGGAGACAGCGTACATCAGCGATTAAGCTTTTTTTCAGCATAGCAACATTACTGGGATGAAACGCAGTAGCAGTCCAAGTCAAACTCCTCCATCACTTGTGAGTCTACAACCATCCGTCGACCCCCAAAAGCTGCACCATAAGGGGGCCGTTCTGCAAGATGTCTGCCCTCTTGCGGGTACGGCCCATTCCACACATGTCCTCCCTCTAGGAAAGGCAGCTCTCACTCCGGCTGGATGAGGATGGGGCCGTTTCTCTCAGGAACACATGGGGGAAGAGACAAGAGTCAGCCGACACACTGAGCTGACATCTACACAGATTAATCAAACAGCGTCCTTTTCAGAAAACATTTGGATAAGAAAATATGTTTTAAATATGAGATCAAATAAATCACTCATCTTTCTGAAGCGACACTATATCCAACAGAGGAAGCAGTACCTGCGTCACTATGATGGGCTGATTATAGTCAATGAGATAATGCCTGGCTATCATGTTCACACACTGCCTGCAAACCGACTTGAAATGGGTCAAACTGGCGGCAATGGATGGGCTAATTACAGAGTGAACAATTCACCCACTCGGACGTCACCACTTTCTGTATTGTCCGAAACTAAATGAACTTGAAATGATCTGTGAGTGGGCCGGTTTTAACAACCACTCAGGACGGTTAAATTAAAGGTCCGCCCCTGCGTCTGTGACCATCATTACACCCGTGGTGTTTACTGAGAATGTGATGACTAATGTCCTGAAAAGAAGGTGACAATTAATAATAACAGCCATAACAAAACTGCTGGCAGCAGAAAATTATTTAATTTTTCCCCCTGCTGTATTACTGTAGTTATTTTTTAAGCAGTTAAAAAATAATCACTAACGTAGATATAGATGTGACTTGGTTACTGAAAAGTATGTTAAAGGGGTCATAGGATGCCCATTTTCCACAAGTTGATATGATTCTTTAGGGTCTTAATGAAAAGTCTGTAACATAGTTTGGTTAAAATTTCTCAATGGTAGTGTAAAAAAAACTTTTTTTACCCTGTCCAAAACAGCTCTTTTAAGATCAAGCCGTTTTTGTAGCATTTTCCTTTAAATGTTAATGAGCTCTGGTGACCCCTCCCCTCTCTTCCGAGCCGCTCTCTGAGGTTCACACAGACAGGCATCTGAGATCGGCTCGATTTGAGAAAGGGGAAAACATTTAACCCGATTTAAAAAAAACCACTGGGTGGGTTTTTATCATTGTAGGGTGGTTGTGTACACACACTGCCAACACACATTTCAGTTCAAACAACTTGTAAAAGTGCATGTAGCATCCTATGACCCCTTTAAGATAAATGTACTGACACAATGGTAACATTTTGTTTCAATTTATTCATTAGCTACTTCAATAGGTATGATGAACTAACAAGGAACATTTCTTTCCAGCATTAATCCATTTAGGATAATGTTAATTTATAAATAGAACATTGTTCATTGTTAATTCTAAACAAATGTGAGTTTATATAACTTCAAATATTAAAAATGTTTCAGTATACACTACTGTTTAAAGTTTGGGGTCTGCAAGACTTTTTAATGTTTTTAAAAAGGCCTTTATCTGAAATATTACTATATTCTAAAATAACTGTTTTCAATGTGAATATATTAATTTGAATATGTCATTTATTTGTGTGATGGAAATACTGAATTTTCGGCAGTCTTCAGTGTCACATCATGTGAATATGTTAATTTGGTGCTCAAGAAATGTTCCTATTATTACCAAATATTGAAAAGCTTGTGCTGCTTAATATAAAAATATTAATAATAAAAATGTAAAAAAATAAATGAAAAATAAAACTGCTACTGACTCCAAACTTTTTTTTTTCTTTCTTTTTTTTTATTGAGCTGGACGAAACATAGATTAACAGCAACAACTTGACGTAATGACTTATACAAAAAAAAAAGAAAAAGAAAAAATATATAACAAACACATAGACTATAAATGTATGGATGTGGTCATTTAAACAGGTACAGAGGTAAGTTAAATCCATAGTTTCATGAATTGTAATAGTATTATTATTATTAATAATTAAATTTCCTTGTGTTATTGTGGCAAAAGATGAGATTATAGATGTAACTGCCCTATGTATTAAAAAGTTATATTAAATAGCTGACTCCAAACTTTTGAACTGTGTATATGTATTTGTATTAGAACATTTCAAGTCGAGTCAAGTCTGCTTTATTGTCAATTCTTCCACATGTACAGCACATACACACAGAGAACTGAAATTGCGTTACTCTCAAACCCTTGGTGCATACAGATAACACTAACATAAGTAGAACATAAATACAGATAGATACAGATTTAAATATAAAATACAACTATACAATTATACAAATAAGGTAAAATGTAAAAAAATATATAAAGCAGCACAAGGCGCATGGCAGATAGAGTGCAAACCAGCGTACAAAAACACTGCGACTCACAAGACAAAAAACACGAAAACACCTTTCTGTCGGGAGAGAGAGAAGCCGCAGTGTGTGAACGCGCCGCCATCCTTGGATGTGTCATCATCATTAGTTCTAATGTGAACTAATGTGAACAAATACAAACTTATTGTAAAGTGCTACTTAAATACTATATTATAGGTTGCTTGTGGAAAGTAAATGCTGTTCCATATGCATTTCAGAAATCCACCACAAGCTCTCGCACACACTGGCCACTGAGAATATGGCGGGAATCCACGGCACTCTAAAAAACCATCTATTATGGTATAAAAACGTCCCTCTGGGGACTGATTGGTTATCAGCTACTCCAACAAACAAAGAAAAGATGGCAACAGGGGAAGTATCACAGTCTAGGCCTCTTTTGTTTGCAGATGAAGGATCAGTTGTGAGGAATGACTTGGATCTAAAAACAGCTCTAGCCAGATGAGGTCATAGCTTTGGATGTCTGTAAAGTTTGGCTTTCTCTCCATAACACTAGGCTCGGGAAGTGAAGGAAAGAGATAGAGAAAGCGGGAGACAGAGGGAGAAGGAGAGAGGCAGGGGGGAAAATAATGGCTTTTCCAGAAGTGGTTTTGCTCCTTTCTGCTCTGGCACTAAAAAAGAAATTTGAACACTAAGGTAGGATAGGCAACGAAAATCTGGCCGCTGTTCGCAAGAAAGCTCACATTTTCCTTCGAATCAGTGAAACGGTTTAAACATTCTGTCTGTTGAACAAATAGTCTAATTATGGAATACATCAGGAGTTTATCCTAAAATTTTTTACATTTTTGCACTTTCTAATGAATGGTTCCCTCTCAATTAAATTTATTTGACTATTTTCTCAACCCCATGTCATTCCAAACCTGAATTCTATTTTTTTTCCCAGTGCAGCACAAAAGAAGACAGTTTTAAAGAACCATTGCACAGCTTGTGCCATATGACAAAGTGACCACTTTTGTTAAGCTCTAAAAGCACAAAGGCACCGTCAAACTATCATAAATGTAGTTCACATGTGGGGATGAAAAAGTCTCACATAAAATTAGGTGAAATAAAAGCAAATATTTGCTAATTTAATTTATATTGCACAATTCAAAGTCATGACAATCATGAAAATGGGCCATATTGCCCCTCTACCATGGGGTAAGAAACCCCCCAGGCTCATCCCAGCTGTCATCTGATTGTTACAGAATATATATTAAAAAATATATATTATTTTAATGTTTTTATGCTTTTAATGTAAAATATTAAATGAAATATCCTATGTAAATAATTTTTTTATTTCAACTAACAGAATCACAGTCAAAAAATAAATCTGAACACCATATAATTCTATGAATTATACACGGGCCTATAATTTATTTATTTATTTTTTTAAATAAAGACATTGTCATAATTTCAATAAACTAACAATTCACAATGAATGATTCCATTCAGCTGACCTATAGGTTAAGATGAGTAGTGAAATTTGAAATCTATTATTATAAAAACTCATAAATTACAATATATATCAAAAAAGAGACACACACACACACACACACACACACACACACACACCAGTATAACTACATCCCTCTTGCGGCATCTTACCCTAAGAGTCTAACTCAATTCTAAATGGATCACCGAGTCCACAAATCCCCAATTTAACAAACAGACAATTTTCTGAAGCCAAATAATAACTTTGGTGGAGGAACAGACCAAAATGTAAATCATTATTCACTGCTAATTTACAGCTCATGACATTAAGGTGAGAAAATAATAACATTAGATTTTTGGGAGAACTATTTCTTTAATAAACCAAACTCTCCAGCAACTTTCTGTTACCATGCTTCCATCTTACCATTTTGGGACAGAAAACGCTCTTACAATTATATTAAAAACTAGGAGGGAAAACCTCACCAAACTAAATTCACGGAGAGCACTTTGTACTCAGAGTTGGTGAAATAACACAAAGATGGTCAATTATTCATGGAAATCCCTGAAGCATATGAAATATTAAGGCGGGCTACAGCACTGATGTCCTTGGAGGGCAGATCACGGAGGGCACCTCAATCCACAGCACAATCCACAAAACCTGAACCATGACGAGCAATGCCATCAAGAAGAGTCAGAGATATAGAGCGAGAGAAAGATGGGAGCTTACTGTGGCTGTGCCGGAGACCGCCTGTATGCTGTTGTCTGGTCCGCTGGGCTCACTGTGCGTCTGGGCAGGGGGGTACATGTTCAGCGTGTGTTCTGCCACGGGGGTCTGGCCCGAGTAGTCCGGAGTCGGGTGAGGGTGGGACGGCGTGTACTCAGCCGGAATGCCGTTCTGAGGGGGAGCGAACTGCGCTGATGTCAGCAGGAATGCCGTTCTGAGGGGGAGCGAACTGGGCCGATGGGTAAGGCTGGGCCATGGTTTCTGGGGGTGCTGGGGCGTCTTGATTACCCTGAAAAACAGAGAAACACAGCAAAATGTTAGTGCCAAATTAGAATAATTCACTAAATGACCAAAAGTATGTGGACACCTGAACAGCCCATCCATATCTGCAATTAATTTCAAAACACTGGACATTTGGTGCCCTTTTAGCTGCTACAGTAGCTATTTTTGCCAACTTTATTATTTATAAATATATGTAAAATACATGCTTCATGTGAGTTGTGGGGATTTTGATTCATCTTAGCTTTTTTAACCCACCAAAAAGATTCTTTCAGGTTCGTTCACTGACCCTTCATGCAGGTTACATAGTTAAACCAGGAGATTGTGACAATTTACAGTAACAGCTATTTTTATGCCACAAATATGCACAAGTAAATCATTGAATCATTTGACTCATATCGATTTAATCGATTCATAAAAAAGGCAAGTCTTAAAATTCTTCATTAAAAAAAGAGACTCCAAAAAGAGCATTTAGACACCCTAAAAATTACAACAAAGCAGATTCAACATTTTTTCCCTCTTTCATTCATAATTTGTCCACTTAAAAGATTTGTACTAAAACACCGATTCTAAAACATCTCTGCAGAAACTACAGAAACATGTTAATCTCGCTTACAACATTTAAAATATTAACAGAGATATTTACTAGTGCTGTCAAATGATTAATCACAAATTAATCGCGTCCAAAATAAGTTTTTGTTTACATAATATACTGTATGTGTGTGTACTGTGTATATTTATTATGTATATATAAATACACACACATACAGTATATATTTAGAAAATATTTACATGTATATATTTATATTCACATAATTTATATTATATATAAATGTATTTAATATATGGACATAACATATTTTTCTTAAATGCATGTGTGTGTATTTATATATACAAAATAAAGATACACAGCACACACACATATATTATGTAAACAAAAACTTTTATTTTGGATGCGATTAATCAGGATTAATCGTTTGACAGAACTAATATTTACATATACCAAAAACATGAATAAAATAGTATCTTTGTTTAATGTTATTTTTGGTAATAAAAAGACACCATACAATTTGAACTTGAAATCACACTGTGCACAAATTTAAGACATTTACAGTTTAGCCATATGGGCTTTAGACTCAATAATCCGTCATAATTTTAAATATGCTTCTGAAAATATCACTTTAAATATTCACTTTTGTGTTTGTTGGACAATCCATTTTTTTTTTACTATTATTCAGTAGAATTCATTGTCGTTTTGAAGTTATTTTTCGGCTTCATCCCTATTTCATCCTGACACTGCATCATGGGATTTGCTCTCATTAAGACACAAGAGGTCAGACATGCTTGTATGCATGGCTTTATGCATCAAACATGCTCATTATAAGGGGGTTTCCACATACTTTTGGTCTTTATATGAGCTTCACATATACACACACGCTACATCTCGCATCAGTCGTGCCCTCTGTTTGTAAACCATTAGCGAAGCACACGCTCGGCTTCAGACACAAGTTCACTCGTACAGCTGGGCCAATTAAATTAGAGCGTTAGCATGCACCGGACCGACAACAAATGAACAAGCACACTCACGGACAAATGCGTTCCGTACACAACACACATCAGACCTTTATCTCAGGAAGAGCTTTCTTATTTGATCAGGACCAATTCATCCACCTCCCAGCACCCAGATTATCCACTTACGCGTGGAGACATCTCTCTACCCTGCGCACCAAATCAACGCTAAACCGCCACTTTGCATGCCGCGCCCAAGAGACCAAAAAGCCGGCTGAATTAGCGCTTGCTATCAATAAACAATGACAGATTAGAAGAATGAAAACACACAACAGGCTTGGGTCATGTGATGCACGGAAACACAGATAATGAGGAATGTTTCATGAAAAATACATTAATCTAAACAGCTGTGTGGATTTGATGGGGATACTATTTGTTAAAACTTCAGGTGATGATAGCTTTATTTGTCTGGGTTTTGTATAACCAGATGGTGTGTTTTTATTCTGTACAGCCCACTGGAAAATTCTATTGTTCAGAGGTCAGTGTTATTTTGGTATTATTTATATACTATTATAGAATTTATTCATATTTTGAATGAGCTTTTCTGTGTTCATTTTAATTTTAGTTTGTTTTAATAAGATGAGTATGTGTATCTTTTTTTTTTTATTTTTATTAGTTTCAGTTTATCTTTTTTTTTTACTTTAACTTTATATTTTACTTTTTTTTTTGGTAATTTTTGCACTTTTCAGTGACCAGTTAATTTATGATTTTTAAGTTTGTCACTTAATATTAACAATTTATTTTATTTCAGCTTTAATTCAATTAACGGAAAAAATAGCTTTAGTTAACAGTAACAACACTGTCAGAGGTTTCAAGCAATAACCAATATTTGAGATACGAGTATAGAAGATTTGAACCCTAACCCTAACCCTAGAAGATTTAATGAGAAGTGTTTGCATTCATATCTTGATTTGAAGGAATTCATCTTCAAAAAAGACTTCATCTTCACATTTTTCAAGGTACCAAAATTCTGTCCTCATTTACCCACCATTATATCATTCCAAACCTGTATGATTTTCTTTTTTCTGCAGAACACAAAATATATACTGAAAAATGTTTTTTCTTCATACAATGAAAGTCAGTATAGTTCAAAACAACATTAGACCTCACTGACTTCATTTTACAGACAAAAAGTGTTTTTTCTTCTTCCCCAAAATACCTTCTGTTCTGCAGTAGAAAGAAAGGCTTACAGGGAGGTGAGTAAATTATGACATAATTTTCATATCCGGGTGAATTATTCCTTTAAGATGTGCTTTCCATTTAATCCTACCGTAGTCTAGAAGAAACAACTGAGATATTAGAGACAACTAATTTGTGATTTTCCCTACTTACAGGAGGAAACACTTCGTGACACACTTCATACACGCACACACATCTCTTTCTCCAAGCCAAAGCAGGAGTTATGTAGGCAGAGAGATCCCATCACCCACAGGCCTGTCGAGAACACACTCTGACACGGGACAACTGCACATGCTAAAACAAAGCGAAACACACTCTACCACCACTTTCTCTCCTCTGACCATAATGCCACACTACACAGAAACACCCCCTACGTGCAAAGCGTAGGATAAAAGGAGAGAAAGTCCAGAGCTCAATCTGTGATTTAAAGGAATATTCCAGTCTAAAATTAAAATCTGTCATCATTTACTCATCCTCATACTGTTCTAAAATCGTAAGACTTTCTACACATTAAAAAAGGATACAATAGTTTTGTGCGAGGAAAGGACTAAAACAGTTCTTTTGAGTTAAATTGTTTCAATGAATCAGTTTTGCAAAACTGGACTAAATAATTTGTTCACAAATCAGACTGAATGAACTTCACATCTATTTCAATGATCTGGTTGTAATAGTTAAAAGTCCACTGGACTGGAAAACAATCAATTTTTGGTCTGGATAACAAAGTTATCATATTACTAATATAGTGCATATACTGCGTATATAGAAGGAATATAGACTCATATGGACCACATTTATGACACTTATAAATGACAGGTCCAGTTCTCATTCACTTCCATTATATTGTGAATTCCTGTAGCTCAAACAGTAGAGCATGGCACTAGCAATGCCAAGGTTGTGGGTTTGATTCCCTTAAGAGTGTATAAACTAATAAAAATGTATACCTTGAGTGCAATGGAAATGGCTTTGGATAAAACTGTCTGCCATATGTTTTAAGTTTAGAATACAGAAAAGAGCAACCAGGATATTCTTCAAAAATTCACCCTTTGGGTTCCCCAGACGTCAGTCACACAGCTTTGGAACGACATGTAAATAATGCCAAGATTTTCATTCCTGGCGAGTCGAACGTGTCGAGGAGAGCCAGGAGGGAAGCCGCAACTTGCTACTCTGTAAACGGGACCTTGTAAAAAAAATCCCTGCTGTTCCTTAAGCAGATGTTACACACATCACGCTGTTTCCCATTAACACCATCAGCACTTCGCATAGTGCATTGATATTCAAGAGCGGGCACACCACACCATAATTAGACTATCATTTGATCAGGAGTGCTAAACTATTTATGCACAAGTGTCAAAGACGTTAAGGGGAGGGTGGAAGGAAAGTTAGCGAAAAGACAGAGGTGCCTCCGCGGTGTGGGAAGCCCCTGTCGGTGCAGAGCTCTACTTTTGCGGTCATTATAGTCGTGCCGTCACTGAGATTTTTTGGAGGCCCTCATAAAATAGCTGCTGGCAAACACTGGGAGAAAAAAAGCAATGGCAGACAGTCAGGCTTAGCTAAACGCTTTGGCCTCCACCCTAATGAGAACCACATTTGGAGGACTGAAATATGTTTAACGTGGCACCGCGCTGGATTCATCACTTCACTGCGCTCGGCTTCCAGGCATACACTTACAAAACATACGCAGCTATAAAAAAAGTGCCTTTGTTTTGGTAAAGGGCTTTTTATGACACTTTGCAAATATAATTTCACACACAACGAGGCTACTCCTCCCTCGCTCCGTAGTCGCTCTAAATTTCGCAAGCACGCGAATAGACGCGGCTCACGGTCGCACTGAGATCAACCGCACGCTAATGCCTTAAAAATGATGGAAAGCCAGGTGGAGCGCAGCAGCACTAAAGCGGTATGTGTCGGAACGTTTTGGGCGGTAGTGTTTGACTATTACGCAGTCAAATAAACCGTTTGAAGAGTAGCGCGTCTAACTCTCGTCTGCCTCTCTCACTCACTCTCTCAGGGTGGATGACAGAATCTGGCTCATTTAAATATTGGTGGCTGCCAAATTTGTGAGTTTAGCCACCTAGACCGACCCGAAATGGAGCTTGGAGATGGACTGGAGAGAAACGAGAAAGAAAGTGATGATGAAATGTGTGAAAAGAGAGATAGAAAGCAAAACAGCTGCTGATAAGGCAGCCTGAAAAAGAGTTGCTGAAGGGGGCTCCCTCTTTCTTCAAAGCGCACGCTCTCTCTCGCGCACACACACACACACAC